TACAAATCGGAAAGAAAAAATTCTTACTTAGATCAAATTATTATTTCGTTTACCACAATGAATATGTTTTATTATTATGTTTGTTAACAAAAATACAAATAAACTGAAAAAAAAAGAAGAACACAGATGTCAAACGAATATGTATCCTCATTCATCGTGTTTGTGAAATCTACATCTTTTATTCTCAAAACTACGTGTTGTGGACTTTCTTTTATGTATTGCGTTATGTCGTTTTGCGGAAAATCTGTACGTGATGGAAAAAAATGAATATCATTTTCTGATTCAGCGTACAGGAATTGCTGTAGAACATGTAAAAATTTCAAGACAATAAAACCACTGCAGGCCTGTGTAATCAACTTTATTAGTCGTCATGTAGGCGAATATCTACTGTCGTATAAATAGAGTTTTAATTGTAGATTGTGTAAACAAAACCCCAAACATCTGGTTATATTATTTATTTCATAATATATCCAGATGTTTTTGTGTTTTTTTTTCATTTGCTAACATTCATTATTAACGTAACGTAAGGACAACGAGCCATTTGGTCATTTGACAGTTGCCTTGTGATGTCACTTGTTTGGTTCTTTATCGAGAGACAAACTTTGAAATTCTGTAGAAATTGAAACTATTTCAATGCTAGTTTTTTATACACATGATTCTGCGTTTTGATAGGGAAGTTCACATAATTATGGTTTACATCATTTTATCCCACTGAAAGATATTTAGTTCACAGTTACACATGTCTGATTATGATATACTTTGGACTTATTCAAACTGTAGTAACTGTGTCATGAGCGTTTTGGCATAGAACCTACGTATCTTATTAGTTTTTTAAATACTCCCATAGTTTAAAATATAGTTTGAGTTGATAATTATGGTTTATAGTTTAAAGAAGGAATATATTATTTAACACTCGAAATGTTGTGTTTATGATATTTATGTGGTGAAACTGAAATCGACTCAAAATACTTTCAGTATCTATGGTAGTATAGTATGCAGGCATACCATGCATTTTCTAACTTCTAATTTTAATGTGGAAATTTTAAACATATTCGTTTAGTCCGAATCTATGCAGTTAACGCATAAATACTCGGTCCAGAAAAACCGTTGACTTCATTCTTGCTACCTTTCTTACTTTGTTGTTTTGTATAGAGATGATATCTGTTCCGCCAAGGGGATAATATAGCTGTAACGCTAAACGTTGTGCATATAGGTTAACAACATCAGTGTCCTTCACTGACAGAGCATATAATATCTAAAGGTTAGTTATTGAGCTTAATGAGAATGACAAGCACGTGGATAGCGCTAGTCGCTATGAGTAAATCTAACATTTCCTGCTAAGTAACGAGCGTTGGATTCAAAACGTTCTATACAGGATCTTAAGTAAGTTGATCGACGTAAATGTATCTCGAGAAAAAAACAACTGTTGATCAATTCACAATCACAAGTCCAATAGAAAGTGATGTACCAACGTCTAATGCAAGTATGCACACTTGTTTTGTTATAAATAAAAATTGTTCAATTTGTATCACACTTCGTGTCCAGACTCTTTATTTCTTTACTTTAAACCTAGTCAATTTAGTTTATCCTGCCAATCAGCCTTTTAAAACTAACACTCTTTGAGGGAATCAGTTAACATTATAATACCAAAGTATCAATTGTATTACGACAATGTAAAAAAAAGAAATTTCATAACATGTTTTCTTATAAATTTGTTACACAAAGTCTGTTCAAAGTATATTTAGAAAGTTCACTCATATGATGTACGTGCAGCTAGATAGACGTCTGTTAAAAAGACATTATTTGAATAAGAAGAAATTGAAGACCAGTTAAAATAGATTTATTTCAAACAGTCTGGAAAACACGAAAAGCAGTAGTGTGATAAGACCACTGTCCCGATCTTTGTTATATGCAGATAATGTATCAAAAATAAAAACTCCAAAAATTTGTTCTAAATGCAGATAAAGTATCACAATCTTCAAACCATCTTGAATATTATTATCAATTGAAGGATATATATATATAGATAGATTGACTGATGTTTTGTATTAAATATTTAAATATTATTTTTCCATGGAGTGACAACACAAAAAGTTCATCGTCTGGATTTGGACTCCACTGCTATATGGGCTGTAAATAATGATAATTAAAACTGAATGTTGGCACAAGAACTTATACGTCAGAGGAGTTGCTATAATTTATATTAAAAATAACGATAAAAAATTGATTGCTATTACAATACTTTATGTATCAAAAAAGTTTCTTCTGCAGCTGTTTATTGCTGATTAATGCTTTGCAGTATTCTCAGGTGAAACTGATTTCCACAAGAGTATCAGACATGAGTATCAGGATTGATCAAGAAAATTACAAAGTAAACCTGACTTTAGCTCAATGACTGGGTTTTAAGATAAAAAAGAAAGAGACTGAACACGAGAGGTAAAGTGAAACACAATTTTATTATTTATTCAAAGCACAAAAAATGAGAAGAGAAAACACACAATGTGCATACTTTCTAGACGCTGAAAAGTCGCCATCTACAGGAACAGCGAATCAATTAGCAGCTTTGGTCTCTAGAGATGTTTTCTGTGAACCAACTCACGTTAGAAATTCGTAGAATTGATGTGAATCCAACACTTGGTACTATCAGGAAATGTCAGACTTATCCATGATGATGCGCGTTACAACGTGCTGGTCGTTCTAATACAACTTAGTAAAGGCTATATATAACCTCTAGATATCATCTGTCTGACCAGTGAAGGACATTGCTGTCGTTGACCTATTCTGCACAATGTACAAAGTTGCAGCAATAAATCCGGGGTAAAATAGATACTATCATCTCAGGAGTGAAATTCTAGAAGAAAAAAAAGAAAAGAAAAATAGAGGTATACAGCTGGGTGAAATGGACTTGTTTTTTGAAAATGGAAAAAAAATCCACATGTTAATATAAAAAACGACAAATCAGCTCAGATAAGTCCCGGTACTAGTACTGCCTTAAAAAATAAGTTCTGGTACTCAGTAACGGTGGGTACCGGCAGAATTTCACCCCTGTAATATGTTAAAAAACAACAAAGAAGCAAAGGTAACTCCAACTTAAAAAGCTAAATGGTTTTTAGGCCCACATTATTATTCTAATACTGCATAGAGTCAGACTAAACGAAAAAAAAAAAGAATATTACTAAAATCAAGTAGACAACATGATATGTTTATATATCACATTATAAAGCATAATTAAAAAACACAACAAGGAATGTTTATACTAACAAAAATATTTGTAGATAAAACGAAGTATTTTCATCCATATATATAATGTCCCAATGTCTGCCTTGCATGCCATGTATACCCTGAACGGTTAATCGTAGTAATATATTTTATGTTAAAATGCTTCTTTTCAACAGTTCATTAGAGGAAAATTATTCATTTTTTGCAATTCCTAAAATTTCATATCGATATTAATATCGATCCATCAGTCTTTCTATGTGCTGAATAGCCAATCTAAGAAAAAAACTTATTAGGTACAAAAATGTTTCTTTTTGTCAGGGAATTTCACGAAAGAAAGGAATTTCCTTTATCGAGTGATTGAAAGAAATATTTCGAAGATAGGAGCATTATTGGGGAAAACGCATAAAAAAGGGAATGTGTATGAGTATAAAATTGTTGTTGTCCAGTTTATATATATAGATATATATTTCAAATCGGTATTACGTACATGCATGACTTTATTGTACACTGTAGAATGTATTGAACTGAATATCTCACCTTTGACACTTCATAGAGAAACGACAACTGTCAAAAAGCACTCACTCCTGTAGCGGTCTTTCCTTGCGCTCAGTAAAAATGACAAAAAACGGTAGCATCCAACGGAAAAAATCCTAGCGTTACTCAATGAAGCTGAGTGCTCTGATGCACTGTATGCACCCATAGCATCGAAAACCAAAGATGTTTGCCGACATTGCATTTTATTCAGGCTCCTTTGCTTAATTTAAAACAAATGCAGTACAATTTTCCTTATTGAAATAACACATGAAATGACGAAAGATGGTTGTAAACGACCCACTAGACAATCATATTGCACATACGCTCTGATCCAAGGGATTGGGTTGACTGCATATTGTATATTTATTCATCACTAGTTTTAGGAAAATTACGTTGAATTTTTTCACACAGAAATGTGCTAGTAACTTAATAAATTAAACTCATCAAACTACACGTATACAGTTTCAGAAAATATTATTCAATTATGCATAAAACAAACAGGCAAAAAGTAAGGACATAGTTATTGTAAATGTTTAGATACGATAATATAAAAATATACTACTAAAGAAAGTAAGTTTTCCTATAATATTTATTTTAACTTATAAAAATCAATTTAATATGCTAATGGGGAATTATATATTTTAATATGGTATTTTGGCACCCAGTCAAATATAGAAATATCTGGATATCAAAGCTACTTTTAAGAAGAACATAATGTATTTATTAATAATAAAACTGTTGGAAATTTGCTCTTTACAAAGATAATAAAATCTAAAGAATTAGATAAAGAATAAATAGAATGAAGATTGGAAAAATAAGCGTTCGGTTCTTATCAATAGCTAAAGTATTAATATTGACTTAATATTCTACCCTGCAGTATCTATTACATTACTAAATGTTAAATATAAACAAAAAAATATTTAACTGTTATACAAATAGTATGAAAGCTTCTTATAGAATGTTTTTATTTATTAAGATTACATGTTGCTCGAGGATCGAGATAAGCGTTTATTAAACTGTGTCCACAGAACCCCAGGGTTTTGCAAAGGGTCATCAGGGGTTCCCTACAAAGATAACAGATAATAGCGTTTTAAATATTTATTTATTTCATTTATATAATGTTAACCCCTGAGGGACCAAACATATACTTTAAAAATCATAAATACTTTTGTATATTTATTTACAATTTTTACATTAACAATACTGTTACGAACTTGATCACTTTAGTCTCAGCTAAGGTTGAAGAATGGGTTAAGGTTTGAGGTTATGTGACGGAAGGAATGAAATAAGAGGGTTCCATGGCATCGTAAGGTTTGAAAACCACTGTTCTAGATAACAAGTAAAAGCAGTTAGCTACAGCCTTACTTCTGAAACTACTGTGTATTGTTGAAACTCGTGATACGGCCACAAGAAGCTGTGAAAGTATATAAATACCCGCATGTAATGGTGCATGAGATATTTAGTGCGCATACAACGAAACAGGTTAGAGCTCATGAGGAAGGTGTTCACGAGGAATACGGGATTCTGCGAGATTTAATCTTCATCTCCCTCATCCTAGTGAAATCAATATGAGCGCTGGAATATCTTGTACAAGATTTAGCGATAATTACGAAGTTAAAGAAGAGCTTGGAAAGTAAGTACTCTTGTCTTTTGATGTTTAAAACCCTTTGCTTAAGAAGAGAACGTGATAATTTAGATCTCTTTAACGAATAGAACAAAATGTGTTGGCAAAATATCGAGCTTGCGAATCTTCCCCGCTGCAGATGGGTTCTATTTCTGATCTAGCTCTAACTCTGAGCTAACTTTCGTTCAAAGCTGCAGACATTTAACACCGAGAAGCGATATTAGATCATATAATGTATGTAGTGTGTAGCCTATCACAATTTTGAATAGGGTTTTAATTAATAAGTTCTTAGCAAAACCGTATGTGGGATTTAAATCAGAATGAAAAAGAATTTTGTTAACTTGTGATAATAAAAAGGTAACAGTAACTGAATAAATTGTTGTAACATGTATAACAATGCCATGGATTTTTTATTTTTTAATGAAATGAAGTAAGGCAAAACTGCTGACATTGTGACAGTAATTGACAATGTTTTAAATTTTATGCATTGTATGTTTTTCGTAAGTATTGAACAGGTAAGTATTATACTGTTAGTGTTGCACATTAGTCACACTACAGTTTTTATTATTTTATGGATCCAAACTTCCAACTGCAGTTTATGACTTTTAATTATACATACATATGTAACATAGTAGTACCTAGTAGTACCTTAATTGAAATTTGAATAATCATTAAGTGTGTACTAATAATGAGGTGTATTATCTTGTTTGATGCTAGTTAATAACGAATATTATTGTATATTATTATAATTATATTTTGCAAAATATTTGCAATGTGAATGCAAGTATCAAGTTTGGGAGAGTTTGTACTGTACTATCAGCAATGTATTGACTTCTATTTTCTGAGTTAAGCTATACCACGAGAACATGGCAGTTTAACTTTGATTACCCTGCATCGTAGGACCTTGCACTTGCTAAGGCTGACATTGATCATAAGTAGTAGCTATTTAACCAGAGAGTGAACACTAGACACTAGAAAATATAACTTAGCAAATCAATGATATTTCAGTTCAATGAAGGTACTATTAAAAATAAAAAGTATTTTTACATACCATATGACTAGGCACCTGTACTGTACTTCAAGGTTTGAGGAAATTGGCAGGAATACTATATTTAGGCTGCCAGGAAGTTATATACATATATATAATAAAACAACACAAAACGTTAAGTTTCCCATCTTTTTTTTTATGCACACAAATGGTTTCTTTTGGTTAAGAAATACTGTACGTGTCATGAACATCCATTGACAGTTGTAAACCAGATAATAATTAAGTAATTGCTCATGAAGTTATTCTTAGCAATAGGTGCAATGTAGTGTTTTGTAACATGTTTTTCTCATTTAAATAAATTGATAAGAAAGGACAAACATACTCTAGAAGCTGTAGAAGAAAAACAAATTATGAAACCTTTAGGAAATATTTTGCTTGCTTATTACTGTGAAAGATATTTCTAAAAAGGTATATTTATTGCAGTCTTACTGTCAGTATTGATCAGTTATATTTTGGAATATTATTGGTATTAGGTGAAATGAAACATACTATTTTTATTATGTATTATTGTAAGTTATAATACCTACATCTACATTATAATACAGCAATACTCTATTGTTTAGACAAATCTGCATTTAATGATTTTCACAGTGAAATTGTCTCTTCTATAATAAACCCTATAAAGTAAAATAAATACATGGTGTAACCTTATACTATAATTTAAAAAAATTGTAAAACCTTGACAAATATTTGATAGGAAAATATATTTATATAATATGTTTCTTTCCCCAAGTCTATATTAAGAAGAGTTGTGAAGAAACTTAACCTCCCCGAATTGTAAAACAAAGCAACAATTTATTTATATATATCAGGAATGATTGTTGAAGCAGGTAATCTACAATTATGGAATATCATACTAGAAACCATCAGTTTGACTTAACAGTGCAATACATATTAATTCTTGATACAGTTTTTGTATAATGTGAATGTCCCCAGTTGTCAACTGTCAGATTGTTTTTTACATGCAGAAAAGCTGTTTAACCAAGTTTGTACAGACATGTTATTGTAACAGGTAAAGATTCTTGTTTCTATTGTATACATAGTTTCCAGGAATACTCTGACAATATAGTTGTCACTTGCATACAGCAACTGTACTAGGACACTTCAAACTAAACTTTTATTTTGTTTTTAACTATAAGTTCTGGCATTATTAATAAAATGTGATATAAACTCTTAACTAAAATAGTTCCCCCAAAAGTAATACAGTAACATAAAAAATTAACTCGCTAAAATATATAATGTTGGTTCATTTTGCTCAAGTGGAAGTCAATTACATGTGTATTGATCTAGAACTCTACATTACTATGTCTCGTATTCATTCTGTAGAAGGTTTAGTATGTTATATTAAAATGACTGAGTTTGCAGATCTGGAAGTCAGGTGACATCTTTGTCTAATATAAAGTTTTGGTGGAATTAGCGTGCATCAAAACTACATTTTAATATTGTTTGGCTTTATGTAGGTAGTGTGATGCCACTAAAAACTAATCTGTTTTGGAAAGGATATGTAACAGTTCTTTCCAATATAATTTATTCATACACTTGGATTATAAAAATGTGTTCAGATTGGGGATTGAAATTATTATGAAATATTTTGTACCTCTCAACTGGGCTTGAATTAGTGGGGCGGGTGGGTAGGTCGAATTCCCCTGCTTGAAATGTGGACCCCCCTCTGCAATTGTTGCATTGTTATGCAATTAGGGGAGGTCAAGTTTCTTCACAACTCTTCTTAATATAGACTTTGGGAAAAAACGTTAAATTTGGACTCCGAACCTCTCAAAAATGTTTAATTCAAGCTCTCCCTTCAAGATAAACCAAATTTTTAAAGTGTTAAAAATATATAGAAAAACTCTTCCATTGTAAAAGCCAACAATTGGGGTTTATTGGTTTTTCTGTGTTTCAAAATAAAACTGCATTCTCTTTAAAATGAAAAAAAAAAATTTTATTAACTGTATAACTTAACATGAAGATTTATGTAGTAGAGACCTGTGTGTGTGTATATGAGCTTGATGGTGTATTCCCTTGTGTTCTTGATTGAAACTAGATTACATGTTTGCATATATGTACATTAAATGCCATATGTAAACATACACTTGCATTATACTTGATTTAGAAAAAATTGTGAAGTTGTTTTTGTAAAATGAATGTCTGTATTTCTAACTTATTCATAAATTATCTGACATTAGCAGTTGTTTTAAAGGAAGAAGTTTGTGTGAAAGTTAGGGTTTTAATTGAAAATATTTTTTTTTGCTTATGGCCAGTTAACTGTTTCATAATCTTTGTTTTGTCATTCATGATCCTGTACTTCATTCATCTGGTTAAATTTATTTATATTGTTCTCAAATACAACAACATAATGGCAAAAAAAAATCTTGCATTTAGATATTTCTGTCTTGGAACTAATATTACTAGTGGCAGACACTAGTAGGTGTAAAGAGGTGCATTAATATGCCCAATCCTTTAGGTGCATCATGCATTTTTTTTGGATTAAATCACAAGACTCATTTAACACAGAAAATTAAAATGTCTACTTAAAACATTAAATTTACAACACAATGTTATTTGGATTAAACCACCTTTATTTAAATAATGAAATACAAAACATTTATTTTCATCTGTACAATTGGCTAACAAAAATAAATGATGCCAAGATTTATAGAAATATACTTTCCCCTACTGTCATGGATAATAAACATTCTAAAAAGTTTATCACCTGATGATTATCAATGCAAGTTGAAACCTACAAAGTAGTGATAGAAATTATGTTTTAGTAACTTTAGGTACTCTATTGTAGAATGTTCAAAATTAATTTTTCAAATAAGCAATTCATTATGAAACTTAACATCTATAACAGAGGTACTTCAATAAGATTTTGTACCATAGAAATACAAAGAACCCAAAAAATAATTTTTTTAATTGTTCTTCATCATATAAAGATACAGTTTTGATAATATTTTTAAAATTGTATGAGTTCTATTGTAAGGTAGCTGAATTATATGTAAGCTAAAAGAATGACTTCTCTAATAGTTCCAAGGGTGTTTACCACTGAATATGACAGCACCCTATCACATGTAATATAGTAGTTTCTAGAGTACTTCAAGTAAAACATTTCAATAGTTGCAAAGTGTACTATAAACAAGTTCAATTATTAGTATTGTTAATTTTTATCATTTTCATAAAAATCATGTTGCATGTTTTATCTGAAAGTGTTGATTATGCTGGTTAGGGTTGTGCCAAATTAATGCCAGTCAACAATTGTTTATTTAAGTGTTTATATAAAATAAAAAATGTCCCTATTTACACAATAGGCATAGTGTAGTTTATTTTATTAGCTGGAACTTTTAGTTTGTATTAACTACAGTGTACAGATATGTAACAATGTCTTTAAATACAGTTGGTTGTCAATTAGTGTAAATTAATCAGACTGGTTGAGGAACATTTGTACACTGTTATACACTTTTTAAAGTTGAATTCAACAGAAGTTCTAACTAAATATAGCAATAATGTCACTATTAATAAATAATGTATACAGCTTCTTTATAAATTATTACCTTGATGAAACACCTTTACTGAGTAATCAGAAATATTCTTTACATGTATCTCTTTTTTGATGTTAAATTATAGTAAAGGTATCATGTCAAAGGCAAAAGGCCAAACTCTTGGTAATAATTTCATGTCATTGAAAAGGTCATTTTGGTTATAACGTACTAATAGTCTAATACACTAAACAACTTTGCATGTCTTTAGGAAGGTGAATTTTGTAAAAAAAATCTTAAATTTGGTAACATAATATACTTTAATTTTTTTATTTGTACACATACATATAAACTGTGTATCTTCTATATAAAAACACTAACATTATAAGTACTTAGTTATATGTTATATGTACTTAGTTAGACAGTGTTATTGATATTTATCATTATCATATGTAGAGTGTAGTGTGGCTAAAGTCCATATTCAGTTTTATATTCTATGTTGACTGAGGTATGTACCAATGTTGTTTATCAGTAATGATTCCTTCTGTCATATGGGAACAAGTTTACAGTATAGAATAAAACATCAGTACGTTTCATCTGTTTTAATAAAGTGGTAATATAAAATGAAAAGATGCAGTACTGATTCTATGGAATAATGTATGATAAAGTAAAATGTGAGGCACTAACTTAGGGTCTCCTAGGATTAAAAAATAATTTTTATGTCATTTGTTTTGATAAGAACCAAATTCTCATTTTACACACAGTTTAATGTATTTAACCATTCAAAAGAATTATTTTAGTAGTTAAGATAAATACTGTTAAACAGGTAATACTCCAATGGCCTTTTACTGCCAGACTTGCTTACAACTTTTTTTTCTAGTTTGTATTTCAGGCCAGACATTTACAGTTTTAATAGAAATGAAGAAGAAAAGGGATAAAAAACCACTTTTACAGGCTTTCAATGGAAATATGCTTTCTTGTTGTGTGTTTGAATTTTTCTAACAGAATTAAACCAATAGATGTTCTGATTTGCTTAACTAAAAGATTTGAAATCCAGTGGAAGTCTAATTCTGTAAAACTTAGTAAGCATATTTAAACCATTGATTTTATATTTTTCATCAACTCTCTGAACATAAAAGTCAATTCAGTTTTCTGAATTAAGTTATAAGTCTTCATTTGATACTTAAATAAAATCTGTGCTATATAATTATGAAAGTTCTCTCCCTTGTTTGTTAGTGGTAAGTCTACAAAATTGTAATGCAAAATTTGGGGTTCATTTCCCCATTGTGAACAGAATGCATACATCCCATTGTATAGCAATGCACTAAGAAAACAACAATAACTGTGAAATGCATTCTTACATCTTGTATTTCAGTTTTGTGTATAAATTACCTTATATTCTAAAATTGTACTATATTCCATTTTCATGTTATGCAGTGCATAAATTGTTTTACTTATATGTTTACAGTAAGGTTATATAGAATAACTTAGAAATATATTTCTTTTGTTTCACTTAGATGTTATTTTAATTTTATTTTTAGAGGTGCTTTTTCCATTGTAAGAAGATGCATTCAGAAGTCTACTGGGTTAGAATTTGCTGCAAAAATTATCAACACCAAGAAGTTATCTGCAAGAGGTAAGAAAATTTTCATTGCTTCTCCTTATCAATAGGGTTTGTTTGAAAATCACATAAATTTTGCTTTGCTCTTCAGTGATGCTGGGGTTAGTACAGTAAGTAAGTTCTGTAAGATTTGTCAAATTGAAAATAAAGACGTTTTTCAAATGCATTTATTACCATATCCATATACTTTGCTTTTGTGATACAATAAGGTTATTCCTGTGTACTTGAATGATATATAGAATAATTGCTGATTGTAACTTTTAACAATAAGCTCAAGTTGAATTTTATTTATTTATATAACCTTGAAAATTTAACTTAACCAGACCAAAATCCATAAAATGGGTCATAAATTTTCACTAGCATAAAAACTAAAACTTTATTTTTATACAACTTCCAAGCTAGTTGGTCATCAAAGTTGACCTATTTTGATGAGTCATCTGCTATTTTTGATGTAATTCTGGATATTTTAGGACAAACATTAATCAGAAATGCTTGAATAAGAGCAGTAACAAACAAAGTGCATAAGATGACTTTACTAAATGTTTTAAAAAAAGGGAGCAATGGATGAGCTTCATTGACATCTGAATCACCATTTTCAAGATCTAAGACAACAAGAAGAAGCAGAATAATATTTCTTCATTTAATATCTAGTTTTATTCTTTTTTTTGTCAAAATATTTGCCCTTTTTGTCTTGGTAATTTTCTTCAGTGGATATCTCATCATGGTCACATACACATTGACAGCATTTATTACACTTGAAATACCATTATACTTTTCATTTGTAAGTAATAGAAGGCATAGGATCTTCTGGTATTTTTATACTGTTTAATTTCATCTTCTTTATTATAAAACGAGGAAATAGTGCAGAAAAAAAGTAATTAGTTTTAGAACAGAAATATTAGTCAAAGGAAGAGCAAAAAGTGTTAATTAGTTCCCCAACTGACATTTTATCTTGCAGAATGGAAGACCTAATTTATAGTTGTTATTCTAGCTATTTTTTAGTAAATTCACAAACAAACAGTTTAAAAGAATAACACATGAAAAAACAACAGCAAGTGGAAGAAACCAACATCTACACTCTACCAATAAAAAAATCCTAGTGTTGTTTTTTTAGCTTGTCTTTGTCCAAAATAACTGAGGGGTGGAATTCCCTGAAACTATTATAATTCTATGACAAATGGTGAATTGAATGTCAGATTGGGCTTCATGTTTATTTCCCTTTTTTATGCCTGTTATTTATATTTAATGATACGGAAAATAAAATTTATAAAGCTCAGCAAGCTATTATACCAATAATGGTTGCCAGGCTTTTCATCTCTCAAAAAAAAAAAATTCATTTTCACTGGTACACCATGATAAATATTGTCAATATAAGTAAACAATTTTTTAAAAAAGATTCCAGTAAAGACTGTTTGTACAACTTTTCATTGTTAATAAAAATTTGCATACAATAGGATGAAATTAATGACAAGACTTTTAATACATTTATTCATAAACCAAAAACCATTAATTTCTCATTTACATTTATTATTGTTCAATATAAAATAATATCCATAAAATTATTCTGAAACCTTGTATTAATACAAATGACCACAGAACATAAATTAATTTTGCTGATTTTTTACTCCCTACAACAACAGATATCACCTAATTTTCAGCTAGTGCAATTTAAAAAGAAACTGAATCTAAGAATCTTTTAAATAATTTGGATGTGACACCTTCATACTTTAGTATTTCTAATAACAGTAAAAGCACTTTTAAAGTTTGATTTTTCAATTTTGTTTTATTAGGCTACATTTGTAAATACATTTTCTCATTTAAAATGAGGGTATGGTTTTCACCTTTTGTTTTTAATGTTCAAATTAATATTTTGTAACTATCTTGATACACCAAAGAGTCTCTGCTTTATAGTTTTATAAAATTCTGAAATTAAAGCATGGTTTGTAAGAATAAAACTAATTATTTGCCTTAACAGAAGATAAACATCAGTATTGTAGACCTAAGTTTGGCATTAATTAAATCACATTACATCTGATAACAATTACAAATATTCAAATGGCATATCTTGTACTATGTGAAGAGAAAGAAAGATATTGTATATATAAATGTTGTTGTTCAAATAGCTTTATTTTTTGTAAATCGGTTACTTATAGACATACGGGTATATAAGTGTCACCAATATTATAGAACATTTTATGAGTTACTAAGAGCAGTTAAATCTTTTGGCTTGAATACTCCATTATTATACCCAAGGCTAGATACTGCCTTTTAATTTCATTTTAGACCAGTATACTATTATATCATATCATAAAAATTTCTCCAGGTTGTTAACAGGATGTTCCACAGTTAGTTCATTTAATGACCTCATATTTTTTCATAAGTTATAGTAATTAAAGGTGGTGTGTGTGTGTGTATGTGATATTTTAATATGAAAGCCTTGCTACAGATTTCATCAATATGTACAGAACAGTTCTCATACCCGCTTTTATAATGCATGATACATTGGCCACTAAAAAATATGCCCACTCTGTCTGCAAACATTACCAAACAATTTTGTTGTTTTCAAGAAGACATTGACTAAGTACTTTTTCCCTTTTTATGTCATTGGTAATTTTTGTGAGTTATAATTTTAGATAATGTTGAATAGTGTTATATGGACTACTTTTGTTTTCTGTCTAGTTTTGAAGATGTTGTTTTTGGTTCTGTGCTGAGTTTCATCAATTCAGAAACTGTCTTCATTTAAAATGACAAAAGTTTCTGTAGTATATATGCTACAATATACTGATCCATTTTTATCTAACTCTTGTGAAAGTATTGATTTCTTTTTCAAGTAATATGTATTCCTGACTATATATATATATATTTAAGTCTTTTAGATGTTCATACCATAATAGAATAGTTCAGTCAGATTTATACATAATTACTGCAGTGTAAAGCCCAAGGAAACTGTTCATTAAATGCCATTGAAAATTAGTGTTTATTAGAGAAACTTATCATTAATGGGTAGGGGAGCTGTTAATTAATGGCTAGAAATTATGATCATTAAAGTGCAGGGAAATTAAACAGATCCTTTGAAGCCTTGTTTTTCTGATAATATTATTACCTTAATGGGTATCTTCTTTTCATTATGGAAATTAAGAAAATTAATTAAAGCCAATAGTTTTCTTGTATTTGTTTCTGTTTTAAATGACTATAATGTTTGTAAGAAAACACTAGCTATGTTGTACTTACTGTATTTGTACTTGCAAGAGTCTTGATGGTCAAACCACCCTATTCAACAAAAATGTATAGTTTGTCACATTCAATTTAGCTAGCTTTATAGCTGAATGTAACTGGGAAACAGAATAATTCATTGAAATAAATGATTATTGAGCCCTTTAAATCTACTCTGTTCTTAACGAGCTCTTTCATATTTTCTATAGTGTGGAATAGAAATTTAAACTGTTCTGCTATTTTGATACTGTGTCAAATTTTATTTCTCTGACATGTAAGGAGGAAGGTACATTTTTAAGGTTTCCTGGGCCATTATAAAGACTATTAATCTCACTTGTAAATTGGCTTTCTAGGAAACTACCCTGAGACAATAAAATGTATCTATCATCAGTTAAAAAAAACCACAAAAATTAAATATTGTGTAAAATTTATATAAATCTGGTTTGATATTAAAGTTATTGGTTTTCATACATATTGACATCGAAGTGATAGTCACTATTTTTACCAGGTGAAACAGGAAAGTAGGTAAATGTATGGTTTGAAAAAGCACCTAAACAAACCAACACGTGTTTATGAACATATTGTAAATAATCAAATTTCACAAAGTAGAAGGCTTTTAAATATATAATGTCCATCATCCAAAACCAGTTCCTATCAGATTTATGAACTCTCTACTATTTTCTTTCCATGTGTTTATAAATGAGCATTTTATTTCGAATACTTTGGTTGAATTTAGTTCATACTCCATGGCAGATATAAGACGTAGGTTTTGGTAGAGAACTAAATCCACCTTAAAAGACAGAAAAAGTGCATATTTTATTTTTGTTAAAGCAGAATAGATGAAAATAGCTTATTGACACACACATAGGTGGCTGCAACAAATGTGTTGACTTTCGTCATTTCACCAGCACGTGAATACTTTAATTAAAACTGTACTAGAATTTTAAAATGCAAATGTGGATGAAAAAGTACCTTGTTTGACTTTTATCAGTCCTTACGAACTACCCCTGTGTACAAAACTTAATTTTATTAACTATTTTAATCTCCCTACAGCATATATTTATATATTTATTAATTCTGATAAATTTCCCTCAGTTTTTGCCCCCAGTGGCACAGCGGTATGCCTGCGGACTTACTTACACGCTAGAATCCGGGTTTCGATACCCGTGGTGGGCAGAGCACAGATACCCCATTGTGTAGCTTTGTGCTTAATTACAAAAACAAAACCTTCAGTTTTAAGATACTGGCGGCATATAGTGTTGTTAATGTTTTAATCTTCAAGTGTCTTTACGTTAATTTTGCTTTGAAATGCTCAGTTAATTTTTTTTTCTGTATAATAAACTTGCGTTTTGACCCTAAATACCGTTTTCTATAAGTGAGAACATGAATTTTCGTGCTGTTAGGATGTGCGTTGATTCTTTGTATTACTTGATTTGTGAGAATAACGTTGTATATTTTACTGCTGAATAATATAGATATAACAAAATACATGTCCGCGTATATATTCTTTATACACTAATTGACTATCTGTGAACACTTTATTTTGTTTATAAGAATTGTTTGATATTTTGATTGAAACTGAAAGTGTTCATAGGCCGAGAGTCTATCTACGAGCAAATTGGAGTGACGCGTTGGTGAGAGATTTAAGACGTCTAAACTACGTTTATTTACAACAGTGTTTATCAAACGGTGGGTGTCGCGAGCAGGTTTTCATGGGGGAGTCATGAGCTGTCTGCACTGAGTCAAAATTTTTTTTAGTCCTCGAGATGTCTGAGAGTTGCACATATCATGTTTGTTTTGAA